AGAAAGCTCACCGGAAGTGCTTTTTCGTCAAAAAAGATGGCGGCGCCCAGCTGACGCCGGAACCGGGCCGCGGCGCCCAGCTGACGCCGGAACCGGGCCGCGGCGTCGAAAAGGTTGGGGATCCCTGCTCTACATGATTACAAACAGCAAGACAATCTTAGATGTGTAAGGCTTGGTTTTTCTGAGATGGCTCAACTATTAAGCAATTACTCAACTAAAATGACATGTGCTGGATGGCTTAGAAGTAATAACCAAAGACAGTTTCGTTTCCTAATGTCGGAAGATTAAGTCAGGTAGCTAGTACTGTGTTTTAACTTCTATGAACAAAAGAATTCTGCCACATTAGTTTGAAGTAATTGGTTTCTGTGGGTAAAATATACTTGGGGTGGGGATAATTCTTTTCATGCAACAAATTATCTTGAACCAACGCCATACATTTATGGATTGAAAAAAAACTATATTTAAATCACCAATGCTTGTTAGCACAAAAAAAAAAGTCCTGGTACAGAATTTTTTTAGTTTCCATGCAGGTTGTTTCCTAAGGATGATGGTTAGAGGGACATTGGAAGGACTTTAATCCATAAGAATGAATTTGATTTATTTTTCTTAAGAAAAGCAAAAAAGAGCAAGTCATGTTACAACTATATAAGCCTCTTTATTCAAATACTCTCATTTACTGTTAAGAGATAGGTTTAATACAAAAAGAGTAACACATGGCTAAAGCACACCTTTCAACATTGACTTAGTAACAGCAATTGAAGCTCAATTCAGATGGTTACTATTGATCTGTAGTACCAGTGACCAACATGAAATATTAAACCTCTAGGAAATCATAGGTATTTTTAAAGTTTGATTTGTTCAACCTTTTACAGCTACCATTTTATTACAAAGTGACTTCCTGTAATTGTTATTTTGAATTAAATATTAAATTGTTATTTTGAATTAAAGATTATTCCAACATGCATGGGAAGGTGATGAATGTTGATTCAGTATACACATGCTTTACTGCTTTCAAATAAGTATGTTCCATGCGCAGACTGGAATAGATAATGATTAGCAATATTTATATAGTACATTCATTATGTAAGTCACCATGTGAAACACCACATCTAAAAACTTTGGCCCAGTCCTAGGTCACAAAGCACATCACATCTGCATCCAATCATATCTGACTTCATATAGATTTATCGAACCCAAGTTTACTTAGGGATTGTTTATTGCAATTACAAAAGTAATCAACTAGGCAGCAACATAATTCCCTTGCATTAGAATCTTTTTTTCTTATAATTTTGCTAGAAGAAATATGAGGTGAAACAATACTTCCAGGCTACTAAGCATAGCATGATTAGTAAGAAAGAACCTGATGAGTAATGCTGGCAGGAACACTGTATCAACAATGTACTGAACTAATGCTCAACAGGTTTCATCAACAGATAGAAGGGAAGGACTCAGCTTCATTCTAAGCAGCTATTTCCATGGTGCCTTCTTCTTCACTGTCAGCTCTGTTGGCTCTGATCTCTACCAAAGTGCGCGCAAAGCGAGTCCATTCGTCACTGTGAGGCATAGCAAGCTATAAGGATAAAGAAATTGAGAGGTAAAGGTAATTTCAGAGTGTGAAGAAATTAAGAAAAGCTTTCAAAGCAACAGTTTACAGTTGTAATCATCACTGAAGGCAATTATTGTTTTGGAACTGTAAAACCTAGGAGAAAATTTTGAAAACCAGTTTCAGTATCTTAAACAGGGAAGGACTGACTTCTTTTTATAAAGGCACAACATCACCTGCCTAAATGCGAATGTAACTTTTAAATCAAAAGAATTTCCTCCTCTATAAACTTGAAGGAAGTCCAAAAATCTTTATATTTTAATGAGTGACCATGAGTGGACTGGAGGTCCTGTAATGGCAAGATGTGATTTCCTAAATTAGTCTGGATGTTTGCAATTTCAACCTTACAAAATATGGGCCTAAGTGGAGAAGCCATATTGGTACAACTGCATCTGACAGCCAGTTTTCAAGGAAGTTTTTGACAAATGCATTCCACTCTCTACAACAACAGCTGACTTCATTAAGTCTGCCTGGTTTTCAACCACCAAAGAAAGACATGGACAAAGGAGATAATTCAATAATTTAAAACTACCATGCATAAATAAATGGGTGGCATAGCTAAAGCAATTAGTTCAAGAGCTTTACGTGTTTGTGTGTCTCAGGAGTTAAAAGCAGTTATACCCACTTTAGTTTACTTGGTTTATATATGTCCAAAAAGAATTCTAGAATTGTCATACCAGAACATTTCCATTTAGGCTCAGCAAGTCAGAAACAGTCTTGCAAACTAGTCAAATTTAACTGTTGAATTCCTACAACTATTGTTGCAAAACTAATATTATAAGTAGATTTGTCAAACTCAAGATGACACAAAGCCGAACAAAAAAGAAATGAGAAAAACTTGAATAGCAATAGCACTTAGACTTATATACCGCTTTATAGTGCTTTACAGCCCTCTCTAAGCGGTTTACAGAGTCAGCATATTGGCCACAACAATCTGGGTCCTCATTTTACCCACCTCAGAAGGATGGAAGGCTGAGTCAACCTGGAGCCTTGTGGGATTTGAACTGCCAAATTATACGCAGCTGGCTGCAGAAGTAGCTTGCAGTACTGCACCACAGAGGCTCCTTATGTTCCCGTTTTTATATATTACACTAAACCAAAAGCAAACTAAAACGATACCCTTCAAACACTGGTTCACTATTTAAAACCATGCATAAATATCTGATATCTATGATGCTTGGGAAGACCAAGGAAATCCCCACTATTTCTCTTATCTTTATGCAGTTACAATTTTTGAGAATGCAAAATAAATTTGAAGTTGGTTTCTCAGTGTATATTTTCATAGACTAAGACTCAGAGAAGGTTTCAGGCTGGTTCAGGGTTGTCTGGGAGATATCCACACATCTTAAAACTGCTGAGGCAAGTAACCTCATGAATTTAAATCAACCATGCTCTTTTATGATTGAGTGTTAAGTCTATAGTTTCTTCCTGGATGCTTGTGTGTATATATCTGTGTGTCTGATTGTGTATATGTTCATTCACTATCAGACAGCCATTAAACCCAGTGATGTTTCTAGTAACTTTCCATAACATAATATTCCAGATTATAAAATAAAGTAATATATCAGATAATAATTAAATTTTATTAGTGTTAAGAAGTGTTTAAAAGATTTAGATCAGAATGACACAAATTTCACAGGCTTTTCATAAGCTTAGTTGTAACATTTCTATATGTATTTTTAGAAATAATAACAAGGATTTATATATATGATTTCATATAACACAAAGCTAATTCTCAATAACTTCCTTTCCAAATAATCTCAAATTAAATAAAGCCAGGAAGCGGTTGGGAACAAATAGGATAAGGAAGAAGAGGCAGAGATTCAGGTATTGAAAATCATAGAGACGGGACACCCTGTAGAATAAGGACTGGGTAATGTAAGAACAATTTAAGGAAAAGAAAGGTGGAAAATTATTTTGTAAACAGCAAATACTTCTTCATGAGGAAATGATAATGAGCAAACTTGGAACAAAAATTTATCAGGGAGGACATGATATAAGATTAATAATAACAAATAAAAGGAATAACTTTTTTTTACACAAAAAATGGTTAACAACGGAATTTGCGATGGTCAGATTTAGCAATGGTCACTACTATGGTTTTAAAATGCGTGGAGGATCAGGTTATCTGTGGTTAGAAGCTTAACAGCTGTGCGTTCAACCTGAATGGCAAATAATAACTTTGAACAATGGCAGAAGACCAGCCTTTGGAAGAGATTTATATATTGCCTTCCTATCCAAGTTGATGAGTTTCTTAAATGCATATGGTTGAGAATGTGTGTGCCCAGCATAGGAAAGATATGAGAATTCACACAAATACAGGAAGCTTCAATATGATGATCACATTAAAATTAATAATTTTACTTAATTTTACTTTAATTTTGTATGTATATCAGTACAAAATAGCAACAGAAAATGGGACTTGTAAAAAATGCACTCACTGTTGCTCCTAAAAATAACGATGAATAATCTCAAATAAATTGGAATTGGTTAGTTAAGGCTAAGTTATTGTTTCATTAGTTCTTTTGAAATACTGTAAAAATTTATGTCCTGACAAAATACTGTCCCATGGTGCACAAACTGGGACTGTAAGTCAGTCTGCTTTTCTATATTCTTAGAAAACTGTCTTTATTGTACACAACGACTTTGTGTTCCAAATCTCTCTGGCATGGATTCAACTATGGGAGCAATTTCTCTTTTCCTCCAGGCAATAGTGACTTCCACTACAAATATATAGTAAAGATGCTGAAGGCTTTCAAGACCCCTGCTAAAGAAAAAAGCCATTTGTGACTTATGTAAAAATGCAACACAGAACAATCTGTCTTTCTACTGGGCATACCTCTTGAGGAGTGGCAAAAATTCCAGTATTCTTTAAATTAAAATATTTCCAGAGGAACTCGTACAACTTCATTCATATCTTGCTAAGAGTATCACTTCGTACATACAATTTTCTACTGCAAAACTGTCCATTGTGCCCCATAGAGCTGAGGGGAGGAAAAGCACTAAATTTAAGTGGATACCCTTTGCATAAGACGGTGTTTCTGATCAACTTAGGTGAAAGTGATCCTTTGCAAATTGGTCATTTAAATCTGGCATGTATCACTTGATCCAGTCAAAGCTCTTTGGAGGAAAATGTCACCGAAATGTCAATAATCAATCAATCAATAACAAGAATAGAATAGAACAGAACAGAAAGAATAGAATAGAATAGAATAGAATAGAATAGAATAGAATAGAATAG